GCTGGGCAGTACTTCGTTCTGTTGCACATGGGGTCACTAGGCGATGGAAACAACACTCGAGCACTAACAACCACAGTGTACTTGGAAAAAGGGTAAAGAATGTTAAATCTGATTTACATCTTTACCTTGACCGTGAAATGGGTGACCCTAAAGACACAAATGTCAGACCAGTCTTCTTTGTTATCTCTAAAGGCTACAACTGTCTTTTCCTCCAACCCCATATTGCTGGGGCAGTAGCTGTGTCTTTGATGAAAGACAGCGGGTGAATAAGAAAAGCATCCATGAATCCCTAAGTGAGGAACTGGAAACTCTGGAAGATGAGAGACTAGTCCCTAGAGAAGGCCATCATTCTTGGTAAAGCAGCAGCATCAGGGAAGAGGAGGAAAGCCCTGGACAAGATGGATTGACACAGTGGCTGCACCAATGGGCTCAAACATAAGAACCATTGTCAGGATCGCGCAGGACCAGGCAGTGTTTCACTCTGTTCTGCTTCCGGTTGCTATGATTGGGAACCGACTCAGCAGCCCCTAACATCACAGGTGAGTTCCTCTCACTCACTGCCATCGAGTCAATTCTAACTCATAGTGACCCTAAAGGACAGGGTGGAACTGTTCCTGTGAGTTTCTGAGACTAACTCTTTACGGAGTAGAAAGCCCCATCTTGATTCCATGAGTCACTAGGTGGTGCAAGACAAGTACCCAGCTGTGTTTGCATCTGCCTAGAGGCATCCTGAAAGAGATCAACTTCCAGAGGCAGCCATGGGAAACCCTGTGGAGCACAGCTCTGCTCTGACACACATGGAGGTCAACTCTGCAGAAACTATTTTTTCTGATCTTTCTTGAAAGACACACAGACACACACCCTGGATCCATTTCCCCTCAATTCAAACTTCCTTTTACTCCTTACCCACTTGAAACTCGTTTGTCAAGACCCAAGTCAAACATCTTCTCCTCTTTAGCACCCTTTCTTACTTCCAGGAAGATACCAAATGGTCGCACCCGTCACAGAGCACAGCAGTTAGAGGATTGAGTCCTGAGAGTCCAAGGGAGAAAGAAAGCATCTCTTGGGGAAAGAAAGAAAAAAATCGGTGGATGCAGAAAGAATAGCTAGAAGACCAATAGTCAGTAGTCTCTTTTCTTGAGTGCTGAGGAAGCTTTCCACAGCATGT